TTTTTTTTTTAGCTTTTTCTGCATGACACCCTGCTTTCTGAATTCAATGCCATCAGTCAAGTGCTTAACGCAGGTGGCAAACATTTGGCACAATGAGACAGACATAGTCAGAAACTAGAGGCCAAGTATCATATTAGACAAATCACACTTCCCGCCCGGCAGAAACATGATGAGTTTAATAAAGAGACAGTCACAGAGCCCAGAGTTCAAAGACCAGTTCTAGCTCTGACTTGGAAGAAGTTTCCTGAAGTTCAGTTTCCTCATCTGTGAAATCTCGATTTCACAGGGTTGTTGTGAGGGTTAAATACGATAAAGTATTGCTTCCGTGAGTGCAAGATAAATAAATCCAGTTCCCCTCTGCCAGCACCTACTCCACTGTATTTCATTCCCAATCAAGAGATAATATGGAGAATTTCCTCCAAATGAAGAGCTATTTGCAGAATACCATTAGCGGAATTTGAAGAACTGACCAAAGTCCCTACCATATTTTTGTGCCAGATTATACCACCCACCTTAAGGATGCATTAACATTTACTGAGTTACTACTTGCGCCCAGATACACTTTCTTGTGTAATCCTTGTAAGGATTATGTGACCTAAGTGTGATGATCCGGATTTTACGATGGGTAAGCAGGCTGGTAGAGCTCAAATATCTCACCCGAGGCTACGGACGTTGTGAAGAACAGAGACAAGGTTCAAACTCACGTCCTACCCCATGTTCGCCCCAGTAAAAATAATACGGTGCATACGTACAGCAGACTACACGCAACTGTTTAAAAAGGTAGTTTACAAAGCATAGGAATAAACACACGAGTGCACGTCAAACTGCTGACATCTGAACAAGGTCCATACGTTGCACCGATGTCAGTGTCCTGGCTTCAATACTGTTACTAAAGTTATGGAAGACGTCACCTTTGGGAGAACCAGATAGAGTATAGAGAAATGTACTGTACATAAGTCTACAATGATTTATATACATATACACACAAATATATGATAATACATAAAAATATATACAAATGTATGATAGGAATATTAAGTGAAAACAGATTCTAGAACAAAAGATGTATTATCATCCTGTCCGCTTTTTCAAAGGTTGTATGTATGTATATATGTATAAATACACATTGAAAGAGTCAAGGTATTAGTACTGAACATCTTTGGACATGAGTTTACTGGTGACATCTATTAACCTCTTTCCACTCTTTTAAGTATTTTACAATATGCAATTTTACTTTTCTAGCTAAGCGGGGCAGGGAGGGGAAAAAAATGCTACAGGTAGGCCCCACTTCTCAAACGTTCGCATTACACCACTTTGCTTTTACAAAAGACCTACAACGGAACCTGTTCTCGCTAACTAAAAGAAATCCAAAGAGGATTTGCACTTCTATGACAAAAGGCACCAAGTCAAAGTCAGAGATCCAGAGAGCAATCTGGTGGCCGCCAGAAGAGAGAGGGGTGGAGGGATGGGCTAAATAGGAGAATGGGATTAACCAAAGGTACAAACTTGAAGTTATAAAATGGGTCACAAGGATGTAATGTACAGCACAGGGAATACAGTTAATAATGCTGTAACAACCCTGTGTGGTGACAGATGGTAGCTAGATTTATCGTTGATCACTTCGTAATACATATCAACATCGAATCGCTCTGTTTTACACCTGAAACTAATATTGCGCGTCAACTAGGCTTCAGTAAGAAAAAAAATTTTTAATAAAAATGGCATTCGGCGTTGGTTTTGCAGCGAGCCATCCTAGCGGCAGCATGCGCCCAGAGCAGTGAGCGCGGCCCCGCCAAGCCCCTTCCCTGGGAACTACACCGCGCATGTCGGGCCACCATAGCTCTGAAGAGCGTCTTGTGAGCACCTGTGCTTTATCTCGATCTATCCTTTATATCTGTTAGCAAGATGTGCCCTTGGATGTCAGGAAAGCCTAAAAAAGAGAGGTTGTTTTTCGTGTCTGAGAATGCTCAAAATTTTTCCATGTAAATTACTGGTAATTGCCTCTTTGTTTTATGCCACGCTGGCTTCCGAAGATTTCACGGGAAAGCTCTACTTTTCGGCAGCAGGGGAAACCTGCATTCCAAATGCGAAAATATGTGTTTCTGGTGGGTCTGGAGGTAGCACCACGCAGCCCACGCTGTAACCTGGCCAGAGTCACACCCGTGATGAGAATCCATGTCTGTGCATCGTGGCAACCACTCCAAGAATTCGAATATCACTGCTGTCGTTTCAACGTGGGACCTAATGCCTACCCTGTGAACCCGGGCTATTCTACTCACGCTGCAAATCATGAGTAGTTCTAATTACACGGCATCCCCAAAAGGTCCCAATATGTGAAAGAAAATGCATTTTCAAGTGTCTGTGCAACATTCAAACTCCGTCGACCTCATAATGAAAACAGCCCACATAAGCATACTACGCGCCTTTACTCACACACATACAATCAGAATAGCAGCAAGGACACAGATTTTGGAGCCAGACTTGAGTTCAAGTCCTGACAACCTGCCAAGCCAGTAAACCTACTCCCTCCATGGGTAAGGATGCAAGGAACAGCAAGCAGGCACCGAGAATCAGAGCACTTTCAACAGTGTGTGACGTCTGTATCTTGCAAGACAAGAAACCCGGCCAACACCGTAAGTGACAAGACCCCCAAAATCATTGAGAGTCCTTCGATTAGGACAGAGAGTTATGAAACTAGTAAATGTATGTGATAAATCTGGGTAACATTTGTTTTTAATTTTTTTTTCACTAAGTTTATTATTTTGAGGCAAAGTGAGCATGAGCAGGGGAGGAGCAGAGAGAAAGGGAGGGAGAGAATCAGAAGCAGGCTCCACGCACTGTCACACGGAGCCCGGCGTGGAGCTCGATCTCACGAACCGCAAGATCATGACCTGAGCTGAAATCAAGAGTCCACTGCTTAAGCAACTGAGCCACTCAGGCACCCCAACCTGGGGACCATTTAAATGTATAAGATGACTTTCTTTCCTTCAAGACCCAACATAACAAGTAAAATATCACAATGATTATAAGGATGTCTGTCTGGTCCCTCTGCTTGTCAACTGCCGACATAGTTTTTTTTTTTTGTTTTTTTTTTTCTCAAGCAGTGGGAAATATCACTGGTTTCTCTAAGAATTCAGCTTTTAAAACTCGTCATTTTCCAAAGTTGGGGGGGTTGGGGGGACCTCAGTGTAAAGTATAGTCTTGACTCCATCTCATGAAGCAAATGTTGGGAGAAGGCAAATCTGAGATTCCAAAGGCAGAGATATGCCTATGCTTCTCATGCACCATGATTTAAACCAAATTACCTCAATTATTCTTACCTGTGAGCTAGAACTCTGCAAAAGATAAGAATGTGGGATATGAATCTGAGGGATCAGACAGTCTTAAATTAGATTTGATTTCTAACTTCTACATTATAACCAAAACTAACGTGGGGGGAGAGGTGGCAGGGAGAGCTCTAGGCAGTGTGGTCTCTAATGACTCGTTATTAGTAACAGGGATACACTGTAGAGGGAAATTAGAAACATGGGAAGAAAATATTAAAATAATGGAAAACACAGAACTAAAATCAGCCAGAAAGAGGGAACATCAAGGAGGCGGCCTGCAGGAGTCGTTAGAGTGCAATGTTGGGAGTAAAAAAGGAGAAAAGGCAGGTTAAGTCATCAAGATACGGAAGTGATACCTCGCAGAGAGCGGTTGGACTAAAGAAGCCAGGTGAGGGGACGGGGGTTGGGGGGGGGCGGTGGTAAAGCACAGGCTTGGGGGTGAGCCTGGCTCTGGGGCAAATCCTAGCTCTCTCAGTCCCCTCTTCTGTGACCCGATGCAGGGTACTTCACTCTCTGAACATGGATATTAACAGTGCCTACTGCACGATCTGCTGTCCAGATCCCTTGAGCTAATCCAGAGAGAGCACTTAGCACAGTGCATGGCACATAGTATGTGTTCAGTAAATCCCTGCTGTTACTATTAGCAATTACGACATTTAAATCCCGGCCCTGCCACTTGCGAACTGCATGACAGTGAATAAGCTGCACACCCTCCCTGAGCTTCAAAAACCCCACAGATACAGCGGGATGATGACGGCCGTCCCTGCAAGATTGTGAAGGTCAATTGAGGTAACCACACATCTGGCACAGTCTACCACTGGCACGAGTAATCTCGGCAGTCCTCGCTGCAGGGGTGGCTGCCGTCATACTGAGGAGGGGGCTGGAGAGGCCTCCAGAGCTGGCAAAGGACACCCTTCGATTAGACTGAGAACTCCATTTCTAAAGGCCACTGGGTGTTCTCCCTGGTTCCTTTCAGCTGCAAAGTGCTGACCTCCCCGGGAGTAAGGACCGGGCAGACGGCTGCTTCAACCAAAGCGAACACTTACCTGCAATTTCTGTGTCTCCGCTTTCGGGGGCCCCTCTGTGGCTTCGGCAAAGGCAGCACTGAGCTCTTGGATTTCAGCGTTAAGGTCTCCCACCTGGGTAAGAACAGCAGCCGAGTGTGCACCCGGACTCTCCTCTCTGTGCACAACTCAAGCGCTCTCCCTGCTGAACTTCTCATCAAGGGCTTCGTAGTTAGGGAAGACGTGAAGTCAGAAAGGGGGCGACTTCCACTTTGGCCGCTGAAGAGCTGGATAACCTCAGGCAAGGTACTTAATCTCTCTGAGACTCAACTCCCACAGCTCGAAAATGAGGACACCACGACTCACCCACCTCTGGCATCGTTGGGCTAAATGAAGTGACGGGTTCTGGCGCTAAAACCACACCCGGCTGAGGCGAAGCACTACTCTCATCGGCGTCCACAGAGATGACCCAGCCAACGACCTGGCCTGGCCATTCCCACGATCTCGCATCCTCTAGTGACCTTCTCCCGTACCCCGGTCAGCAGTGACTCCCGTGGCCACGCGCCGGACTTCACCGGCACCCAGAACTGCCCCTCCGCCGGTCCCACTCCACGCTGAAGGTCTCCAACTCCGGCGGGGCCCGAACTCCCATGTTACGCAATGACATAAGCTAGAACTACTGGTATCAGGAGCCAAAGCTCCCCCACGCCTCACACCGGCAATCCCTCAAACTCTGCCCCGGTTACCTTCCTCAGCGCTACACTTTCCTGGGTAGCTCCGCCCTCCTGCGGCCACTCCTGGCTCCTTCGTGCATTTCTCTCCCCGTCCCTGAAACTCTGATGTCCCCCGTGGCCCCGTCCTCAGCCTCGTCCTCTGCCTGCCACACGCTCCCTGGACAGGGAGGCCCGCTCTTAGAGTCTGAACTCACACCTGAGCTCTCTCCAAGCTTGAGACCTGCACGCCTGCCTGCCGCCTGGACGCGCCACCCTGACGGTCCACGAGCTCCTCAAAGTCAACGCTCTCTGAACAGATGCGTCACCTCCATCGCCACACGCACCTTGCCATCACAGTCCGTTTTCTCTGCTGTCCACTGAATTGGTGGCACCTCCATACCCCAGTCAGGCCACCCGGACACCCGGAAGTCATCCTCCACTGCCCCTTCTCTCGAGTCCTACATCTCTGCAGCAAACTTCCCCAGATCCACCTCTACTCTCTAATTATTCCTGGCTATTTCTGGTCTCATTTCCCAAATAAGCCCTGCCCTCCCACTCCTACTTAGCGGTGGCCACTGCTCTAGCTCAGTCTTTCTAGGCTCTCGCCTCTGCTACCGGCCTCCCTGCCTCCATCCTCTCCCTCCCGCAATTCTCCCTCCAGATACAGGCTGAGACCCCGCCAAAGTGCAAACGTGGCCACCCCCCTCCTTTTAGGAGCCTGCAGCCCCAAACGACTACTTGCACCCCTGCCAGCTGGCCCCATGCGACCTCACAGCTCCTCCTTGGCCTCACTTCAGTCCTGCACCTGGTGTGCTGACCACCTCGAAATGCCTTTGGTTCCACAAACCCCCATCAGGCTCTTTCCTAACCTACTGCCTTAACCAACGTTCTCCCCTCTGCCTTCCCTTCCAGCCCAACTGCTATTCATCCTGCGAGATATGACTCAGACACCTTCTCCCCCAAGCACCATTCCCCACATACACACCCGAATCGGGGCCAGGCCCCCCGCCCTCCACTTGCACGGCGCCCCCTCTCCCCCACACGGCCCTCAATCACCACACCTTTGCCCTGTGTTTCGCCCTCACCAGACCTGAGAGCACAGCTGGGTTTTCTTCTCTGTATCTGTGCCTGGCTCAGTTACTGAGAAACAGCAGACTGCTATACGGACAATAATTAGGGAAAAATAATATTATGGCACGGAACCATCACTGGCCGCAACCTTGGATCCCAAAGGCAACGACCCAGGGAGCTAACTGTTCACGGTCATGGCCTCGCCTCCCAAGTCCTTCATCTCAACCTTGCCATCTTCCTAAACGACTGGGCATTATCCAACAGGGTGGCCATGGGCCACCTACCTGTGTGGCTGGACACTTGAAATCTGGTCAGTCTGGAACGAGACGTGCTACAAGCACACACGGGCTTCAGAGATGGCATTAAGACCAAAAAGACGTTAATAGCTCATTACTACTCCTGTTTTATTGATTACATGCTGAAATGATGGATGTATTATCGAAGTTAATTTCACTTGTTTCTTTTTACTTCTTTTAACGTAGCTCCTAGAAAATTCCAATGTCCCCACGTGACTCACACAGTATGTTTATTGGATAGCACTAAATCGGACACTCCAAAAAAGTTTCAAGTGGACTAAAGGACCCTTTCCGCACTTCCTATGCTCATCCCAGCTGTCTTATAAACTTTTCCCCCAAAGCTAAACGTGCAGGGACACGACAGGCCAGCCACAGAAGCTAATAAAGAAAAATCTCGCTTTGAGTGTATCAGACATACCACATACCTCTTTTTCCTTTGACTTTAATGCCATGGTTAGACCCTGAATGGCTTTGTCCCTCTTTAAACTATTTTTCTTTTCTGTAGCAATCTCTCTTTCCTTCTCTCGCAGGTCCTCCTGAAGTGCCTAAATTAGATTAGAAAAAGATTCACTAAGTTGATGCGTTCCAACCAAAATGCACTGTAAATATATCTGTGAGAGCACACTCAAACGCAGTTATTCTATCTTATTCCTGTCACCCTGTGATTAATGTTCCCAAGTAGAGCTGAACGCAGTGGCGGCAGCTCCCAGTTACGCTGTTAGCGCTCACGGCAACAGGGCCGGGCGACAGGAAGGGGATCAGATCAGTTAAGACGATGACAGCTACTCCTGTGGGAAGGACTCCAATGCCTTCTGGAATTTGAATGCAGTCACATCAGAGGCTTTGAAACCGTACCAGGTTATTTGGGGGAAATAACAGATCATTAATTTCATTCCTTAATGCTACAAAAGCCAGCAGAGAATTTGGTTTGATGGAGACTGAACATATACATTTCCGGTCTGAGTTCATCTCTAAAGATAATCACGCTGCCTCCCTCCCGGGCTATTGCGAGGATCAAATGAGATAATGGACGGAGAGCACTTTCTAAGCTGGCAGGCGCCTTATAAAATGCCGGCCGCTGTGAGCGGGGGACCCAGAGCGATGGTTTTGGAACCACACTGGCAGGTCCGGATCCCCGCGAGACCTCTTCCAAGCTACACGATCTTGGGACAGGGCCCTCCCCTCGCTGAGCCTCACGTGCCCCATCTGCACAATGGGAATGCCTACTTCACAGAATCACTGCCAAGACGGAGAAACCTTCTCTGAAGTACCGAAAGCCTGACTGGCACACGCCGGCATTCCATGAGTGACAGCTGCTGTCACGCCCAACTGTCTACTGCACTCAGAATAAAGCAAAGAGGCAAGGATAAATCTTCAATACGTTTTTAAAAATTTTATCAACATACCTGGATCCTCTCTTCAAAGCGCTGTCTCTCCTTCTGGAGCTCCATTTGTACAGCCTAAGAAAAGGCATTAATTGGCACCTGGAAGGGACTCCCAATACAACAGCTTCCCCAGAACAATTAGAATGAGCATCTCATTTCCGGACTTTTCCGCACTGCCGTGGAAGGCACGGAAATAAGTGCCCATTCCTCTCTGTCTCACCTGGAGTCCCACCCGAGTGAAGAGAAACGGAAAAACAAGCAACCCACACGGATGGATCGCCAGCCCCACAGACAGTCAACCACGGGGCCGCCGACAACGAAAAGGGCAGCTAAAGAAAGGGCCCAGGGTTAAAAAGAGGAGCAGCGGGGGCGCCTGGGTGGCTCAGTCGGTTGAGCGTCCGACTTCGGCTCAGATCATGATCTCACGGTTTGTGGGTCCGAGCCCCACATCGGGCTCTGGGCTGACGGCTCAGAGCCTGGAGCCTGCTTTGGATTCTGTGTCTCCCTCTCTCTCTGCCCCTCCCCTGCTCGTTCTCTCTCTCTCTCTCAAAAAAAAAAAAAAAAAAAAAAAAAGAGGAGCAGGAGACGAGGGCTGATTAGTTTTCCAGCAGAAAACTAACCAGTGAGGCTGCAGAAATCACTGCTGTAATAGGAACAAAGAAGACTCTGCTCCATAAAAAATCAAGACTTTTCCTGAACATCCCATATCAGGAATGTACCACATGCAGCAGCCATCCCTGGCCCAACAAAACCAGGAGGGTGTCAGCGAGGCCCGCTGCACCTCCAGGCCCGGCCCCGCTCCCGCAGCTTGCCCTGGAGACTGCCTAGGGGAGGGATGGCCTCTGGGGGGCTCGGGGGGCTGCCACTACCCACCCACCTCTTAGCGCCTAGGAAAATACAACAACTCCTCTGAGCCCGTTTCTAAATTCCATGAGGGGACAGTGACCTCGACCTCGCAGAGCGGCCAGAAGGACTCAAGGAGGTTCCACGCAGAAGCCCTTCGCCGGCTGCCAGGCCCAACACCAGTGAGTCCCCTTCCCCCCACTGCCTCTAACCGCACAGGTGAAACAGGGACTAAGTTTTATCCCAAGAAAACCCAAAGGACGGAAATAAAGTCTCCGGGCAACGAGAAATCAACACACAGTAAAACAGAGGCGAGCAAGTATGGACTGTTCTGTTAGCCAACCCTATACAAACATGAGGCTGGAAGGAAAAAACAAGCCAGGGCCCCTGACAAAGGAGGTGCCTGCTAATTCCTCAGCTGCCGGGGAGCTAATATTTGGAAGCAGTCTGCGTGTGACCCGTGGGGACCGAATGTGCGTCCCATCTGCCACAGAGGAGTCTGGTCTGCTAATTAAAGTCCCCCTTCACACCCCATCGCCTCACCTCAGCATCTCTCTCCTTTTCTCCCCTTGGAGCGGCAGAAAGTCCTCGGAGCTCTCCAGATGACACGCTCTCATCAGGACGTGCCATCTGAGATTTCTCCTCTTTAAGGCACTGAATTAAAGCTTCTTTGCTCTTCAAAGACAGCTTCAACTCCTCAATCAGTCTAAAAGCGAACAAAATTTAAATATTAATTCTAAGCTGTTCTCCTAGCTCAGTGGAGCAGGAGGAGGCAGGAAATGGGGCCAAACATCTTCAAAGTAGACATGTCCAATGACTGAACAGAAATGGAATCGCATTTTGCTAGTGGGAGAGTAAGGGCCAGAACGTGTGTGACATTAACTGTGCCCTCACCTCCAGCCTGGCCCCGGCAGATCCAACCTCTGAGCCACCAGACTAGGGTCTGATCAAGCCACACCCGTGCTCAGACTTTCGACAGCCCCCACCACCGACGGCAGCGGACTGCTCATGGTTTTTTTGTTTGTTTGTTTTGTTTTTGTTTTTTTGGCCAAGAATCCTCTCTGCCAAAGAAATCAGGCACTGAAGCCTGAACAGACACGACCGATAAAGCAGAACTGAGCCGGCAAAAACAGACAATCTCTCTCCTCGGCCTCTCGGGGCAAAGTTTAAAATACACTGATGTTCAAGATAAAGGCCAAGCTCGTGAGCAAGGCATTCAAGGCCCCCAGCTCTTCGGGCCTAGAAGCTGAGAGGCCCCGCTGGCGGCTGCGGTCTCATCCCTCGCAGGAGGCCACTGCCTGCTGCCTCACCGCCCAGCAGCCTCCCTTCCAGCTCTTTCCAGAAGCCAGGCTGCTTTGTGCCTCCAGACCTCCACTCACACCTGCCCCTCCACCTGGAATGCCCTTCTCGGTGCCATCCACATCTAATACACACCCAGCACCCCGCCAGTTACTCCAGGCGGTGCCTGTCCCCAAGGAACCCGTGCCGACCACACCCCGTGTCCCCCTCGGGTACAGCTGAACACCTGCTCGGGGCCACCACATTACGCTTCCCTGACCGTGGCCAAGTTATCCGACCTCTCTGAGTCCACATTTCCTCGCTACAAAATGGCTTTCACCTGCTCATGTGGATAAGCGATAAAATATTTGAAACAGACCTACATACCTCCGGGCAGATAGCACAACTCAACATAGGGCAGTTGCTATATTACTTTTTTTTTTTAACATCCAATAATTAGCATTCTCTCAGAAAACCCTCAGAAGGGCCTTTCCATATCTGAGCCTCGAAAGGAACGTGAATGGTAGGAAGACAGCAAGGGTTTTAGTCAGAGTCCGAGAGCGGGATGCCTGGGGGGTGGCTCGGTCAGTTAAGCATTGACTTCAGCTCAGGTCGTGATCTCACGGTTCATGGGTTCGGGCCCTATATCAGGCTCTCTGCTATCAGCACAGAGCCCGCTTTTGATCCTCTGTCTCCCTCTCTCTGTCCTTCCCCCTTTCACACATTCTCTCTCAAAAAATAAATAAATACACATTAAAAAAAAACAAAAAACAAAGAAACAAGAGTCAGAGAGCTTCCCTGGCTCTCGGGGTGAAGGTAAAGGGTCAGTTGGCTAAAAGTAGTTAAAAGCAGCTGGTGAGGCACAGGGGCCGAGGTCCGAATGCTCGCGGCCTCCCCAAATTCCTATACTGTGCCAGTATTAGGAGGTGGGGCTTTGGCTGGAGATCAGGCCACGCGGGTGGAACTCAGGAATTGGACCAGTGTCTTACAAATGAGGCTCCAGAAAGATGCCTCAGACCCCCACCTCATGGGGATGCAGTGAGAAGTCTGCAGGCTGGAAGAGGGCTGTCACCTGACCACGTGGGCACCTGGTCTTCCAGCCTCCAGAACTGTAAGAAATAAGTTTCTGTTGTTTGTAAGCTACCCAATCTGCGGTACTTTGTTATAGGGCCCCAAACAGGCTAAGACAATCAGGTATGGGGGGGGGGGGGGTCCCGAGGCAGCACCAGGGCGATGCCTCCAAATCTTGGATGGAGGAGTAAGACTGCCCTCTAGGGGTTCTACTCTGAAATCACTATATAATCAATTGAAGAGGTAACAAGTCACTGACTACATACTTGAAATTGGATGTGTTGTGTTGTATGTAACTTCTACTTAGATCGCCTTGATTTGTTTCAGTTACCTTGAAGCAGTTCCAGAAGGCATGGGGCTGAGTGAGGCAGGCCTGTGGGGACTGTGGCCAAACTAGAGCACCAGGCCCACCTCCGAAAGCGGCCTCGATCCAGCAAGACCCAGGCCCAGGCTCACCACACCTTCCAGTTTTTCAAAGAAGCTGGAAATCCAGACTTTTACATGAAACTAGATTTTTTTTTAAATTCTAGCAACTAAGTCAAACTTCTAAAAGCACTGCATAGGCCAAACAAAACATCTGTTGGCCACATCTGACCTGCAGGGTACCTCCATGTCAGCTGCCTTACGGACACAGATCACAGGAAATAGAGTAGCTAAAGCACGCACCTTTCAAAAGGGTGGAGGAAGCCAGGAAAGACCTCAGCAGTGCCCATCCAAGCAAGGGCCCTGCCCTGTCACAGGGCCACCTGGATGGCACATCTAGATCCATCTCACCAGGGCAGGCCCAAGGACACCTGTCCCAGGTCTGTGCTTAGCAACTCACCTCCTGACCTCCTGACCTCCTGCCTTCAGGGAGGAACATAGTGATGCCGGTCCCAGGACAGACGCACCGCAGAGAGGGCCACACCCCAAGTAGGCAGCATCTGGTCGCTGCTCTGGCCTTGGGGAGTGTGGCTGGGGCACATCCGCTCCTGAGAGAGAGCTGCTCTGGCAGTACCAACAAAGCAGGGTTCTGTGCCTGCCACGCCAGGCCTACGGGAAACCCCAAGGAGGCGCAGCCTTTGGCAAAGCCCTGACCTGACCACCCACACGTGGAGACCCACCCCCCCATCCGCACCGCATTAAGTACTCAGTGAGCCTCAACCCTCCCCAAATTTTTTGCTCCGAGAAGATGAGTAGCCACACTTCTGGGCATATGTCACCAGAGACCACTTTCTTCTGTGATTCGCTCGACACGTGCCGGGCTCCACACCTCGCATGAGTCTACTTCAGCGGCCGCCCGCCTCACCCACCTCCTCGCGCTCCTCCTCTGATAAGCCTTCTCTGCCCCGAACCCAAACGCAGCTGACCACTGCTTTGTTTCTGTCACAGCACAGAACCCTGAACTTACTTCTAATGCCAATCACGACTTTTTTTTTTTTTTGGACATCTGTCCCCTCCCCCACACCGGGAGCACCACAGAAGGAGGGCAGGGCTCCCGTCTCCATTCCTGGCACCTAACCCAAGGCCCTGTTCAGTAGCTGCTCAGTGAATTTACCTAGATCTCCTTTAAGCTCACCTTAATCCATCTGGCCAAGCACCTTCTAGACTCTACTCTTGCTTGGATGCCCACAATCCCTCGACCCAACACGTCCCAACTGAAAGCTTATCTTCCCACTCCCTCCGCCCAAAAACATCTGTTCTTTCTCCCTTTCTTTCCCCAAACTCGGCAAACCGCACCACCATCCCACAGTTGTTCGTGCTCAAAACCTGGGTGAGGAGGTATCTCGGCAGCCTTGTCCCTCATCCCCAAACCCATCAATGATCAAGCCCTTCAAGCCACCGTGTCAATTCTACCATCTAAATATCTCTGCCTGGGGGCACCTGGGTGGCTGGGTCAGTTGAGCGTCCTTTGGCTCAGGTCATGATCCCAGGTTCATGGGATCAAGCCCCGCATCAGGCTCCGCACTGAGTGGAGCCTGCTTGGATTCTCTCTCTCCCCCTCTGCCCCTCTCCCCCACATGCGTGTTCTCTCTCTCTCTCAAAATAAAATGAAATCAAAGAAAGAAAGAAATATCTCTGCCCGTTCTTCTCCACCCAGTTCTTTCACCTCAATCCTGGCGACCGTGATCTTGTGTCTGGACTTCTGCATCATCCTGAGAAGGAATCTGCCCACCCAGCCCCACCACCAACTCATCCGCCAGGTTCAGCCAGAAGGATCGCGTTAAATTACAGGCTGACCCTGACACTACCCTACTCCCAATCTTAATTCATCAGCAGCTCGTCACGTGCCCTGAGGACAAAACCCAAACTGTTCAACAAAGCCCACATGATCTGGCCAGCCTCCCTCTCCTCATCTCTTCCCACCTCCCTTCCAGAACACAACTCTCCAGCCATGCTATAATTCTGACAGTTCCTGGGTCGAGCTCTGTGCCCTTCGGCCTCTGAACTTCCACTCATGTGGTTCTCAGGACCTGCAACACCCTTTCTTCCTCCAAGTAATTCCTCCTTTATCCTCGTACTTCCTCTGGGAAGCCTTTCCTAATCCCTCTAAATAGAATTAGAAAGATGTAATGTTGGGGCGCCTGGGTGGCGCAGTCGGTTAAGCGTCCGACCTCAGCCAGGTCACGATCTCGCGGTCCGGGAGTTCGAGCCCCGCATCAGGCTCTGGGCTGATGGCTCAGAGCCTGGAGCCTGTTTCCGATTCTGTGTCTCCCTCTCTCTCTGCCCCTCCCCCGTTCATGCTCTGTCTCTCTCTGTCCCAAAAATAAATAAACGTTGAAAAAAAAAATTTAAAAAAAAAAAAAAAAGAAAGATGTAATGTTAACCCAGCATTTATCCATCTGGCCCTGGTCACTCTGTTCCTGCCCTCCAGTCCTCCCACCCAGCTAGGGGACGAGGTTCCTTGGGACAGGGACCCAGCCTGTACCACTCACCCCTACACTCGACCCACCCCTTACTGAACACAAGATGCTCAGGAAGTATTTGCTGAACGAAGGGCGTGATGATCCAACAGACCAACGAACCGGCTGCTGAGCATCTGCTGGGGCCCTGGCGGGACCCCTCCAACCAGCTCTCCCCCACCACCTCTCCTCAAACCCACCCCCAGAGCTCGCCCCTCTTCCCCTGCACCCGCACCACGAATTCTGCCTTTTCTTCTTTGGTGGCTGCCTCCCACACATTCTCGTCTCTTCCCTGAGCCCCCTATTTCCAATTTAACTGTTGGAGACCTGCAGGTCCCCCAGGAAAGACAAACCTATAAACGTTCTAAGGGCGTCACCGCTCATCAGCTGGGAGAGATGCAAAGGAACATATAAATAACTTGTATGAAAAGGATTCCAGACTCTGTCACAGCGCGGTGGCCGCAGTCTCCACCTCTCCCAGGTGGTGCCTGGAAGAAGGGGAAGGGGAAGCCCAGCAAAACACCACCCGTCCAAGGAAGCTCCTCCTCCTAGCCGTGCAATGGAGAGAAACCCTCATTCACTCAGCCCTGACGGCCTACATCTCCTAGAGAACTCTGTTTCCTGGCTCATCCTGAGATTCATCCCAAACTTCCGTTTTCCAGATCAAAGCTAAGAAGAGGTTACATAAATGCTAGCTCCCCCAAGCACGGACTAAATGGAAGCCATGGGCTCCCCCTGAGAGTCTACTCATTCCTCTTTCACAGAAAATCCTAAAACATTTGCTCATCTCATTTCCCAACCCATCATGCAAACACGCTGCAGACTCAAATCTCAAAAGGTGGTACGGAGACAGAAAGAGAAGCAAAGAGCAGTCGGGGAACCAGGGCAACCAGGCACCAGAACCTCAACAACGTGGGGGGCCGGTCAATCGGGCAACACACCCCCCAAAAAAGGAACCATAGTCAGTTTCCTCTATTTAAGGAAGTAGGCGAATAGACCATTTGCCTTAGAACAATTTCTGTCAAATTCCAAGCAAGCTTGGCTCTTCAATGGATAGATCACAGGTTAGCCAGAAGTTTCACCTGTATTTACTTTACTCAACTTTCCACCTAGTGACCACCAAAGCAAGGCAAGAGTAAAATGTAAGGTTCGTGATAAAGAAGAAAACCTCAGCTCTCTCCTGACTAGTTTTGATCAAAAGTCTGTTTGCAAGGTATGAGCATCAAAGGCTGCCTACAGGTCCTCCAGTCTGTCCGTTTCTCTGGCCTACGTAGCACTCATTTTATTCCTGGACCGTCACGGAGCGCTGTGCTTGGTCTACACTGCTTCGGCCCCCTGCACTGTATGAATCTGGGCCCGCGGCCTGCATTAAAAGACACGATGATAAACAGGGTCACACAAAATTCACTAGCCTCTATTGTGGGGATACAATCACTTACCGTTCCCTCTGGGCAGATCCACGAGAGAAATTTCTCCCTGACAATGTCAAGTAAAACTGGGCTTCTCCAGAGTTGCTGACCCATTTTCTCTTGTGAGCAATGTGAATCTTAGGTCCATCAAGAAAGCTGTTCTCTTCTTCCTTCGGCTACCGGGAAGCTTACAGCCAAAACTGAATGCTGAAGGTAGTATCTGGGAACTTTTCAGCAGGAGTTTCTATCTCTCATTCTATCCCTGTCCTCACAGCACTACCCTCGCCATTTTCCTGTCACCCTGAGGTTACCCTAGGTTTTTTCACTGTCGGGGAACAAGGAGAGAAAGCGGGGATAAAAGGGTAGGAAGGGAACAACCCTCTGGCCATGCTGCCCGATAGACGGATGTCAATGCGTGGCAGAGACAAGAGCCAGACCTGTCTTTCTGCTCCAGGACCACAGTCATGTCCAAGGCCCCCTCGTGCCTCTTCTTCATCTCCGAGAGCTTGTTTTCCAGGCTCAACCGAAGAGCCTTCTCTGTCTCTGTCCCCGCAAAGGCCTTTTCCAGTTCTGCCTGGGCGGCTTTCACATCCTAGAGTTAAATGAAATGCATTTGATGCAATTTTTCAATACAATTGGGAACATTTTGAAAGGAAATTGGATTAAAATATAAATATTTATGACTTTTTCTCCGGCACATTTCCCCTCCCTGCATTGTACTATACATGGGGAGAATCAGTAATAAATACATTTGCCAGCCATTTTCTCCCTCTTGTATCCTGAAGAGTAATAGGCATTTCCAATGGAAAAGACTCAAGTCTACAAAAACTGTATTTTTGGGTTTGAAGAATCGGATCAATATTTACAGCTTCAGTGAGAACAAGGAGAAATGTGCCTCTCAATACCTAAACACACATAAATTCCAGAGTCCCCAGAATCTCCATACAAATTCATCCCACACCCCACCGCCCCCTCACTATTTCTTTTAAGATAATGACTACACGATTCTCAAATGCATTTTCTGAATCTCCAAGGTGATGTGGGTGCTGAAGGACTACGTTCTTCCTGAGAGCTCCGAGAGGCCAACAGGGGAAGGATCTAAATCACAGAGGCAGGGCTCGTGTTGGGGAAAAGGGCCCTGGTGCTCAGCAAAGTGTCCTGGGGAGACATCTGGATCTCCCAGTGCCAACCGTCTCTGGTTACATCACAAAGATAAAAGTCAAATCAAACTGGGTTCAAAACCCAGCTCTCCTACTTCTTTGCTGTGGGACACTGGGTAGCCACTTAGCCTCTCTGAGCCCCAGCTTATCTGTGAAACAGGGACCACCACCACCCCATCAAAGAGTTGCTGTGTGACTGTCAAATGCCTGCTGCATCACAGGAAGCTCAAGAAAACAAAACGAAACGAAACGAAACAAAAGCACTGGCTGCTTCTTCCCTGCCCTTCGGTCCACAGGGGCTACTGTGAACACTGGGAACGGAAAGCCCACTACGAGCTACAAGTATAGTGACCCGTGCGTCTTTCTGTGTCCAGCAGGCTTTGTGCTGCGTTCCTCCTCATATCCAAGAAGAGTCAGGGTTTCAGGGGGAGAAAGTGTGATGACACGACAGAGCTCAAAGACCAAGAATTGACTGACGAGTGTCACTTCGTACTAGCTTAATACGGAGGGAAACTTTCAACGTCTAGGAGCCAGGATTTTTTAGCCGAGACACAGGCTGCTTCCCATCAAGGGCACAGCAAGCGCCTGGGAACAAGCAGGAGGAGGAGCTACACTCAGTGCCTCCCGGGAAAGGGCACTCAGTGAGCACTGGGGTGACGGGGGATGGAGGCCGGGACCAGACACAGGGCTGCCCGGGCACGCGAGGGCCTGCGAATCAGAATCTGCTTCCAGGCTTAGCGCACGTTAGGGGAGTCCTTCCCCTCTCTGGGCCTCAGTTTCCTCCTCTGGAAAAATAAAGAGACTAAACGAGGTAAGAAGGGCGGTGTTGCATCAAGAACGCAGGCTTTGAAGTCAGCAGTTGTAAAATGGAATCCAGGATCAAACTTAGACTCGTTAGTCTTTCTGTACTCCGCGTCCTCGTCTGTAAGCATCGAGACAACAACCAGGACGCAGGGTGTACCAGGCGCCTGGGACAGGGCTGGAACCCGTGAGATGCTGAATAAGGGTGGCTCTCATTTCTGCTGCAAGTCTGCAAGTCTGTGAAAGAGGGAACAAAATTCTGCTCCCTCCACTATTAACCCACTGCAAGAACACATCCTCCTCGGGGCCTCCAGACTTGCCTCTTCTAGATGGAATATTCTCTCGTTCAGGAGCTCTTCGACCTGCCGCACCTTCTTCTGGGCATCTTCTGTCACCCGCTGCACTTCGGAGCCACCCCCTTCAGCCAGGCTCTCAACTGCTTTACTGCAAAAAGAGGCAAAAGTGTAAAATCCATGCGGGGACAGTCAGAGGGTGGTTTCAGTGGCCCCAAAGAGACAAGGAATATTTGTTAGTCATTTCTCCCACAGACCTGTGCTGGAGTTTGTTGTTGTTTTCAATTTTTATTTTTATTTATTTTTTTTTTTTGAGAGAGAGAGAAATCAAGTGGAGAGGGGGCAGAGGGAGAGAGAAGGAATCTTAAGCAGACTCCACACTTAGCGTGGAGCCTGACGTGGGGCTTGATCCCACGACCCTGGGATCCTGACCTGAGCCGAAACCAAGAGTCAGATGCTCAACCAACTGAGTCACCTGGTGCCCCTTTTTTTTAATTAATATTAGTAATTCAAATACACAGTGAAGTACATGAATGTATCAAAATCAGTCAACATGTACACCTTGAACTTACATGGTATATGTCAATCATACCTCTATGTAAAATACATATATATAAACACAAATTAAGAAAGAAGTAAGAATCATCTATAATCTTATCAGCCAGAAAAACTAAGTTAACATTTTAGCATGTAGCCTTTCAGACACTTTCTACAAAAACAGAACCAACCATACAATATATATCCATGATCTGACTTTACTACTTACTACACCATAAACATCCTTCTGTGTCAATAAACATAAATCTCTACCATTTTTAAAGGCTACATATTAATTCACTGGATGAAATATACTAGAGTATATTAAATCAATCCCCTATTTTTTTATCGAAGTAGAGCCGACACACATCAATCCCCTCATGTAAAAATATTTAGATGATTTCTGATTTTACACATTTGTCTGAAAACACTTCTAAAGCTCTGAGGACAGTGCAAATAAAAACTTTATTCATATATTGAGTACAAAGAACTCCAATACATGTTAGTGTTGTTATTATCTTATAAGCAACATTATAATAAGAGCATCCTTGCATATATACGACCCGGTGATCTCCCAGGGTCTGTTTCCACAGAGGGAATTACCGGGTCAAAGGGTAAGCACACTTGTAAGACTCTTGACAGCCACTGCCGACTCTCCCACCAGGAAACTTCCGGCAAAGTACACCTCCACCAGCGGTAGGAGAGGGGGAGAGCTGGTCCGACGAACCAACGCGCAAAGGAACAGCACGCGACGGAAAGAAATCGGAGGGATCGAGGGCTTTTCTACAGCGTCTTTTGCCAACTGGAGGGAAGAGCATTTTAAACATAGCGTGCCCCACCTGTGAGCCCCAGCCACCACTCCGGGCGTGAGGCCAGGAGGCTGCGCAGGCAGCCCACGCTCCGTCAAGTGCGGAGTTCACGCTGCTGGGCAGCACGGAATGTTAGCCGTCCAGCGGGCCAGGACCGGTGGGGATGGCGCACCAAAGCCTGACACAGGACCCCAACGCCTGACGCCTCTCATCGGGGTCCTCCTCAAAAGAAAAACCGTCAGATACGACCTTGTGGGACATTTACTCGGAGCGCATCTCCGCAAATTTCTAAACGACCGCAGGTTGGCAGAAGGCAGAATCATAAAGGAAACGGCTCCACCTAAAGCTGGCTTCTCAGAAAAACTGCAACAGAACAAATCTATTCACCGCCAGCCTCCCGTGCCCTACTTTAGGGGGCATATGAAATGTTCCCAACCAAGTGCCATGTGATCAGACGCTCACATGCACAGGCCATGTGAATTTTTGACTGAGAACAATGGAAAGTCAAGAGGGCCATATTTGCCGTCCAAGCATCAAACAGGAGCTGCCTGTGAATAAAGACTTTATTCATATCTTGCTTCCTTTCGCCAACAGGCCTTCAGAAGGCCCCAGTGTCATGACATCATTTTAATGGAATTCAACGTTCAACTGCAAGAACGAACATGGACTCTGAAGCCTGAACAGATCTGCTTCCAAATTTACATTCTCTCATGTCCTCAATGTGACTCTGGGCAAATCGCCCCTTACGCCTCAGGTTCCTCACTTGAAAAGTGACACGCTTGCCTCTTAGAACGAACGTGCTAACACGTGTGGTGGCCGCAGCACGGCGCCCTTCCCCGCCCCCCCCCCCCCCCCCCGGCATCTGAGCGCCACCTGCTGGCCCTGTGGCCACCACAGCGCCGGCCCCTGCTGAGATGCCAGGAAAGGCGTCCGTCTACCCCTCTGAGCTGAGACAGGTCATTCTCCGGCCAGAACCGGGGCCGCCACTGCCACTTCCCCTCCAATGCCATGCGATGTGCGCGGCCCCGGCTCCCTCGGCCCATTTCTCCATCAGTGACGTCTGGAGTTCCCCGCGATTCGGTCGTTTCTGTCGTTCCTCAGAAGGCACGGCATACGGCTGATACCACACGCAAGGCTAGAGGCTCTTCCTCCTGAGCCACGGATACGGGATTTTTCCAGTCCTGAACTCCCACTAACCACCAGCAGTGTTTTAGCCCTGGGCTTCACAGAGCCCCCTCTAGGGTGTGCCCCCCCCCCCCCGCCCAGAGAGGGCAAACACGTCGTCTCCCTCCCGTTCGCCCACAACGAACCTCGGTGTTTTATAGTCAGAATCATATACACTGGCAAGAGGCAGACTACAGTTTCTAACAAGTGCTGGTATTATTCAGTTTGTTTGCATTTTAGTTATACCAATAAAATATATCCCCAATAATAAATGTTCCAACTTTTCATTTATCATCTTTGTATTTTACAGTTACTGTAGCAATAAAATTTATACTCGGCAGTATGGTGCAATTTTCCTCTACTAATGGAATTATTATTTTTGTTTGTGCTTTAAAGCTACAGAGATAAAATTTACTCCCGACAATATGTCTGCCTTTGTTTTTAATGTCCCCTTACTGTAACTGATAAGTACAACAATGGAGACCCGGCACACATACGTGTTTCCCCCCCCCCAGCAAGGCAGAGCGGGCTCCAGAGCCAGACGGGCCCAGGATCTGTCACCCACCTGGGCCGGCCCCCCAACTCCTCCGGGCCCCAGTTTCCCCCGCACTCAAATGAGAATGCCGGCTGCCTCACATCACTGTTGTGAAACTGATAAAGCCATAAAGCAGGTCAAGTGCCAGACACAGGGTCTGGGGCAAAGTAGAGTAAATGGCAGTCCGCTCCCCCTACCCTGTCTCTCCTTATAGAATCTGGGCCAACAGACGAGATGGAGAGCAAGACCTAAGGCGAAGAAAGTTGGGAAAAAGTGGTCTAAACCAGCATTCCACCCGATACAAAAGAGAACCTTCTATAAATATCACCCCTGCTACCCTTTTTAACCATCACCCTTTCCTCTTGATTCTTTCCATTCTAATTATAGTTCTGGAGAAAAAGCAGGTGCTTTTCCCGTGACAGGTCCCCATCTCCTGACCAACCCCCACCAAAAAAAAAAAAAAAAAAACCCCGGAAAAGTGAAAAAGGGAGTTGAGGGCATTAACAAAGGTATTTTTTCCGTCACCAAGAATGTACCTACACACGCCTGTAGGTGCTGGGCAGATGGGAGCAGGGAAAGGCACACTTAGCAGGGACGTGACAGACACCGTGCGGGTCCTACAGCACACAGCACGCACAAGGGGCCCACGGAGTAGGAACGGCGGAGGTGCCCCACGCTGCGCTGAAGGAGAAGAGGCTCTTGGCCTTAGAAGAGGTGCAGTCGTGTTGGAGAAACAAGAATCACACACGTGAAAATTAAAAAGAGCATACGAGGGGCGCCTGGGTGGCTCACTCAGTTAAGCGTCTGACTCTTGGTTTCAGTTCAGGTCATGATCTCACGGTTCATGGTTTGAGCCCCACACTGGGCTCCAGGCTGACAGCACGGAACCTGTTGGGATTCTCTCTCTGTTCCTCCCCCGCTCATGCTCGCTCTCTCTCTCTCAAAATAAATAAATAAATACACTTTAAAAAAAAAAGGTTCACGGAAAAAAAGAGAAAAAAGCATATGAAATCAGGGCTGGACCCCAAAGTCAGGGACCTGCGTTCTCATCCCAGCTCCCATTGTCCCGCCTGAGTGGTGCTGGTCACAGTCCTTCCCTTCTCCAGGCCTAAACTCCCCCCTGTCCACAAGGAGGCTTTCCTCGAGATTTGCCTGGCTCCCAGGAGAACGATGGCATCCAAACGGATGCAAATGGGTCTTATAAACTATAAAGTGCCGGCACACACGCGGGAGTGTGATTCTCTGCCAGGGAAGCTTGTGAAGGGATGGAAACGTGGGCTACAGGCAGCCAGGCGGGGCTCACCCCGAGCTTCGGTGTCAGCTAGGCGACAGGAAAAGCAGAAGGGGCCGCCAGGGCCAAGCCAGAGCAGCGGGAACAGAACGTGTTCAGTATCCGTGAGCCAGACGAGGAACGTGTGTCGGACGAGGCACTGGCAGGGAGAACGCCGGAGCAGCTACGTTGTCGCGGACACTCTCCACAGAGCTCGCGCTCTTAGCCCCTGACCTAGGAGTCAGCCTTGACATCCCCCTCCCCATCCGTGACCCAGCCCTGTTGATTTTGCTCACCAGACGCCTCTGCAGGCCGCCCACCCCTCGCCATCGGTAGCCTCTCACCTGAACTACCTGACGAGCCTCCTGACTGGTCTCCCTGCCTCCCCGCCCCGCGCTCCCTCTACGAAGCGCCTTCCTCTCCGAATCCAGTGACCTCCACAAAACTAAATCTGATTGTGTCAGCTGCTCAAACCCGTGACTTCTTCCCGTTTATCTGGGATAATCTCTGCTGTGGCTTCAAGACCCTGCAGGACAAGACACAGACCTCCCCAGACTTCCCATATTCCCTCGGACTGCACGTGCACCAGCTAATTCCTACTTGCTCCTCAGACCTCACCTAAGTGTTCCCCCCTCAGGGCCCCTTCCCTGCAATACGTCTCTATTGACGGACCTGTTCCTACCCTGTCAACACTCCCCGCTGCCTCTGTCTTCCTCACGGCTCTTTTCCCACTTGGTATTTATCCGCTTACCATCCCGAGTATTTTATCACCATCGCCCCTTCTAGAATGCAAGCCTGTCTGGATCACCACTGCATCCCCGGGAGCCTAGCCCAGTGTAGCACAGAACAGCTGCTTAATAAATCTTTTCTGGATAAATTAATAAAACTAGCCAGACCAGGGGCGCCTGGGTGGCTCAGTCAATTAAGCGTCTGACTTCGGCTCAGGTCATGATCTCGTGGTCCGTGAGTTCGAGCCCCGCGTCGGGCTCTGTGCTGACAGCTCAGAGCCTGGAGCCTGTTTCCGATTCTGTGTCTCCCTCTTTCTCTGACCCTCCCCCATTCATGCTCTATCTCTCTCTGTCTCAAAAAATAAACGTTAAAAAAAAAAAAAAAAAACTAGTCAGACCAAAAAGGTCTGCGTGGGCAGCTTGGGGAATCTACGCCCACAAATGCGTGCACGAGCCCTGAAAACCTTCAGCCCCGTGTGTTGTATGGAGGAGCGCACACCGCCTTTGTGAGTTCAGGTTTCCGCGTGTACTCGCCCGCTAACGGCAAGTCCTAGCCAAGACCTGCAGCAGGCAGGGCGCTGAGCACGAAACAGACCAAATTCAAATTCTACTACTGACCTCCAGACTTGGTAAAGTTGACTTGACTTCGTGCCAGAGAATGATGTGCTTCAAAAAAACCAAAAACCAAAAACCAAAAACAAACAAAAACTGTGCAACAGCAGCCAACAAAAACAAAAACTTATCAATCGAGTTTTCTCATTCATTCATTCATTCACTCACTCGTTCAGAAAATACCAAGCGTACAAGATCGGCAATAAGCGAGGGAGGTCTGGGCCGGGGAGCCCCTAGTCTCCTCGAAGCCAGCAGCAGCCCAACTTCCAGCTGCTGGCCACGTGACAATGAAAGGAATGATATGGCCCGGCCCAGAGCGGTGCAGCTGTGCCCTAAGCCAAAGAGTCCATGCTCCTGGCCCACTGGATCCAGCAGGAGCTCAGCTACCAAGACAAATGGTGTGCCTCCACCCAAGCTTTCAGCCAGATCCTTGGTGGAAGGTGGGTCAGCCCCGGCAAGCCTCATTCCACTCTCACCAAGCAAAACTGTATACCTCGGTGCCCCAACAGACCCACAAACGCCCTCTTGTCGCCGTGCCCCCATTATACTCTGTCTACAAGCGTGCTACAAGGCTGAAGTGGGGAGACGTCTCTTTTCAAATCCTCGATACGCGGCACAATTACATAATAAATGTTTACGAATGAATGAATAACCAATCGAGTCATCGACTGTATTCTCTGAACTGGGCTTGTTGTTCGACAAATATTTAACTATTTGATTAATTAAAATAATACCTCTCAAACGTGTTTTAAGCAGAGCACCTCTTTTAAACAAAATATTGTAAGAGACCCTAGTGCATTAAACAGATACAAAAACAAGTTCCTCTGATTAAAGCCCTACCCTCTGCGTCCCAGCCTCACTCACCAGAGTCCCTCAGAATTCCTGCAAGCCCCTAGGGCCTTTACTGCAATGAAAATGAATGAGCTGCTGATAGAATTAAGGACATGGGTGGATCCCACAAACACGCTGCTGAGGAAAGAGGCCAGACACAAAAGGGGGCGTGTACGGTACGGGACTCCATTCCTATCAAGTTCAAAAGTGGGCAGAACTAAACACCGATGCCATCAGTGTTCCGCACAGTGGTTATCTTGGTGGAGAAGGGGACTTCTGGGGAGTGGGTGATGTTCCGGCTTTCGATCTGGATGGTGGCCCCACAGGTGTTTTTAGTGCAAATTCGCCATCTGCACACTTAAGATCACATCGTTTTCCCTGTTAAGTATATTTTAAGTAATTCAACAAAAACGGACACCTCCTTGGGGTCCTCAGGGCCCAGTAGGAAAACAACTGGCTCAGAAAACACAAGGCTGTGTTCTATGGACCCAGCCAGCCTCCACCCCCCGGAACCCCGGGCACCCTGCAAGCTTGTGACAGGATGACAGGTACTCACGAGGCTTTGATGAGAAGCTTCTCCCTCTCCTGGAGCTCCCGCTTCAGACTCTCCACTTCCACCTTCAGTTCGATGTTCTTCCAGTCAAGATTAGGAAAGAAAAGAAACAACGTGAAATACGGGACCCCAGAACGTGCGCGGTGGGGAAACAGCTTTCCGCACAGACTAACTTACAGGACGCTTACAATAGGCAGATGCTAGATTCAAAACCTCATTAGCCTCAGGGCACAGGGAGAAGGGAATTATTAAACACTGGTGGTCTCAAAAGGAAGCCCTGGATTCCTCAAGACTTGGAACAATTATGTAAATTTTCCAAGCTTCTAACAGCCAGAGCACTCAAACACTGAGGCATAAATGTCATACAAGTGAGGCTGATTTAAAAATGGTTTGCCCTCCGCCAGGCAAATTTACAAGCAATTCTGCAGTTTGCTTTTCCCATTCCAAGGCAATTACTTCTGCTTGTTTACAATCATGCATGTGGTGGCTGTAGCAGTGGGAACGTGTTACAGCCTCAAAATAAATAAATAAGTAAGTAAATAAAACACGTGGATGGATAAGTGGGAGGCCACACCACTGCCTGTCTCATTTCAGTGTAAGATTTCGGGGCACTTACAAAAAAGCCACAACCGCGTGGGGCAAGCTGTCTGTGAGGGCCACCACAGCGTTCTCCAACCACACGTCCTCCTCTTAGCTGACTGCAGCGAAGGGAGTCACACATGGCCTCGGGCTTCTAACTCACGTGACAACCCAAAGACAGAAGCTCTGGTAAAGACACTGCAGTGTGAGACACTGGGGCAGTGGTGGGCTTCTCAAACCTGTCCATGAATGTATCCCAGGTGGAATAGCAGATGAACTCCCGCAAGTAGAGCCTGAGGTCTGAGTGCGTAGCTGGTGGAGGATTGCTATAAATCCAAGATTTCTCCGAAATCTTGCTGTTTTGTTTTAATAATTCATGCCAATTTCACATCCATAATCCATGTGGGTTATTTTAAATAAAAGTCACATTTCCGGTAAAATTTATAATCTCAGGGGACACGCCTCCTACCTTCCTGCCAAGCAGCCCTGGGGGAATGAGGACCCGAGACTGAGAAGTCAGCCAGAATGGAAATCAACCCGCTAACCTGGGCTGGTCGCAGACATATACCGATGACCTGTGACAGGACAGGCATGGGGCTAAGCGCTGAGGACGGCGTGGTAAACAAGGCAGACATGGGCCTTGCCTGCACACCGGCATCAACTATGAAACTGGAAGTGCAAGCCTGTAGTCGTCCTTGGAAGCACAAGCCCAGAAGGTGAGAGAGCAAAGTTTCTTCTCTCAGGTCACTCGAGCGCCAATGAAACACACAAGCCCTACCTGACATAGGGGATTTGAGGAGCAAATGAGCTCACAAATGAGAAGAGCCTAGCAGACAGGGCTCCCAGTGCGTTATCTTCTTCCCGGTCAACAACAGGCACTAAAGAAGTCATCTACGAGACCAAACTTTGTTAGGAGAAGCTGATCTTTGCATAAAGATCAATGCATGACAGTTCACCGGTCTTCAGCCGGTTTTGTGAGGACCCTACAGCAACAGCCTTCAAACAGAGGACACCTTTTCAGCTCTAAGAAGGGCAGAGAGTTTCCATTTAAGAACTGACACCAGATAATCTAAACTGCTTTCTGATGAACTAACTGGCACCCCCAACCTAAAACGATGGAGAGCTAACATGTCCACGAGACCAATTTTTCAAGCCCCAATACCTGAAGTTATAAACTTATAATACATGGGAATCAGTCTCCAAACCATAAGTCAAGACACCTTATAAGCTTAAAATGGAATTTCGTTATAAAAGAGAATGAAGATGCCCTTACACTACTGTTAAGGAAAAGATATCCTTATCCTTATTATTAAAGAAAAATGCAAGGTACAGAACAGAACGTGCCTGCGTTTATGTAAAAAGGAGATTTATACCCACACACACACCTGCTTGTACATACATAAAATTCCTCTGCATAAATAATTAATAATATCGGTTACATCTGGGGAACCAGGAGACAAGGGTGGATGAAAGTCTCTCTAGTGTATTCCTTTGATGCTTTTTGAATTCTGAGCCATGTACACCTACCTATCCAACAACTTGAAATAAAAGTATAATTAAATCAGGTCATCTAATCAGACAGTGTAAAAAAAAAAAAAAAAAGCTAAACAGCAGAGTAAAATGAGGCAGGCCTATATTCAGAATACACCTCTCATAGTAGCTTTGTGACATCCAGCAAGTTACTGATCTTCCCTGAACTTCAGTTTCCTCTTCTGTAAAATGAGGATAATCTCCACTGCACAAGGCTGTCGTGAGAGTTAAAATAAGATGATAAATGTCCAAATGCCCAAGACCGTGGCTTACAAAGAGCAAGCAATTAACACGCTTTGGCTCCCTATCACCCTAGAAGTGTGTAACCATACTTACACAGAAAATGTTTTAGGCTATTGGTTTTTCCTTCAAACTATGATTGTATCATCACTCCCTTCCAGAAAAGGTGACATCCTCATTGCCTTTCCACCCCCACACTGAAGGGGGGAAAAAAAAACTGCCTTAAGGGACAAGAGAGCTTTTCAATTCTTGAAAAGGCTCAGAAGTACAGTACAATCCTTCTTCAAGACAAGCCCATTTAAGTCCCATCTGCTGAAACTCAAGGAGAGTCCTTTTTCCCCCTTCAAAAGTTTCCAGTGGTGCAAACTTCAGAAGAGAAAAGACGGAGACATTCCCCGGGCCAGGGGCTAATCTGCTGGAGAAAGCCAAAAAATGGGCACTGAAATATTGTTTGTACTTATGTCTTTTCAGGAAAGCCAAGTTCTGTTTTCAACTTTCAGCACCAAGGTCTGTTTTCAGGCAGAGGCCCCCAGGTCAACACTTCAGATGGGAACAGACGCTTTTCTGACCGTCACAGGCAAGCACGCAAGGAATACAGAAGAGCCAGGGCACAGACACAGACAGCCAGGGCACCTCACTGCGGGCTGCCAAGGGAAGCCTCTGTCAGACAGCGAGGATCATCGCCAAGCACTGACTGTGTGCTAGGGCTTTTCCTCTGCCATTCCATTTTAATCCACACAAATAACCCTGTGACAGAGGGACTATCACTTAACTCCGAAAGCAAGCCCAGGGAGCTGAAGGGCCTTGCCTACAGCTACACGAGTTAGTGGGTAACAGCAGGCCGCAATTCCAAAGACACTCCACCATTTCACCACCTTTGTCTCAATCATGAATAATTAGGAAAAGGCAACTGAGATAGAAAGAGTAAATCAGAATTAGGATTTGAAAAAGAGAGACAGAATCCCTTAAAATTAATCTTGCAACTCTTTGCTTACTATTAAGGTCATCCTATTGTTTTATGCTCCCCGTAATCCATTCAGGTTAAATGAAAGCAGCTCTGTCTATTCAGGCTAACTCGGAGAACAAATATTAATCAAATTTCTGCTGGGAATGACTCTGAGAAAAAAACCAGGTGTGGCCGTGGGAAGTGGGACCTCACAGTTTTATAGACGTGTTCGGTGGGGCCATCAAGTTCCTGTTGCATTCTTTCCTCCAGGAAATAGATGCGGAGCTTTAAATTAAAGTTTTCTTTCTTCAATTCAGTGATTTGCTGGAAAATAAGCACAGAAGGGTTATCAAAAGTAAGGTCTGAAGGACAGTACCTGCATTAATCCCTGTAGCTCCTAAGGCTACGAATGGACTGAAATGTTAAATACTAGAGAAAACTTACCTTTGCTGCAATTGTACCAACCCAGAATTAAGTGGTTCTCGCTAGTCGAATTTAAGACAATCTGAGCACTTGAATGAATAATGACTGAAGAAAAGAATTCGTGACTCCACACTGCTGATAAGTAAGTAAAGAAAGGAAGAAAGAAAGGAAAAGAAAGAAAACAAAAGGAAAGGCAAATCTCTTCTTCACAAATGAAATCCAGTTAGTAAATGCAGAGGAATAAAAGAGAAAATCACCATTATAAAAAAAATAAATTAAAAAAAAATAAAATATAAAAAATAAAAATAGGGGTGCCTGGGTGGCTCAGTCGGTTAAGCGTTCAACTCCTGATCTCAGCTCAGGTCATGATCTTAGAATCTGTGAGTTCAAGCTCCGCATTGGGCTGCCGGCACAGAGCCTGCTTGGGATTCTGTCTCTCCTTCTCTCTGCCCTTTCCCCACTTGCACTTTCTCTTTCTCCCAGAATAAATAACTTTAAAAAAAATAATAAAAATAAAAACAAATTTAAAAAAAGGAAATCACCATTATCCAACCATGACAGTAATAACTGATTCAGGTAAGAATCATCAATGCTAGGGGCGCCTGGGTGGCTCAGTCGGCTAGGTCTCCAACTTCGACCCAGGTCATGATCTTGAGGTCTGGGAGTTCGAGCCCCGTGTCGGGCTCTGTGCTGACAGCTCAGAGCCTGGAGCCTGCTTCGGATTCTGGGTCTCCCTCTCTCTCCGCCCCTCTCCCACTCACACTCTGTCTCTCTGTCTCTCTCTCTCTCTCAAAAATACACCTTAAAAAAAAAAGGAATCATCAATGTTAAAAGCATTTGATAAAAGATCACTGGAGAACATGACATTCACCCAGTTATTACCCCACAGATGGCTTATTAATTACTAAAGGAAAAGGTCCATTACAATTTAGGAATCCAGTAGACACCACCTAAATCAAGATAATATATTAAATGTCACCAGTGATGGGGCAAAGTGACATGCAGTGTCTTCTGAAACAAAGCACTGAAAGCAAGCGACTTCATTTTAAATGTTCCTGCCCACAGCCTTTAGCCTGCACCTAATGAAGCAGTCCATCTGACGAATCCAAATATAAGGACATTTGCAGAACAGCAGGGAACAGCAGGCCTGAACCCTTCAAAAGTCTTAATGACAATCTTAAGGTAAAAGTAGTTGGGGAACTCTTCTAAATAAATGGAAGTGATGGAGGCATGATTACTAAGTGCAATGAAATCATATAGTAAATCTTGAATTTAAAAAAAAAAAAGAAAGAAAAGAAAAAAGCTCCATGAGGATAAGTGGGGAATCTGAATAACAACTTTGTATTAGGTAAGAGTGGTATAATTTTGTAAAATGTCCTAAGAGAGATACATCCTCAAGTACATAGGGATGCTGTCATGATGTCTGCAACTGACTCTCTAATGAGTGGGGAGAGACAGAAAGAAAGAATAAAGCAAACGTAGCAAAATACTAACTGATGAATCTAGATGCAGTATATATGATTGGTTGTTGTGTTTTTAAAAAAAATTTTTTTTTTTTTTTAGTGTTTATTATTTTTAAGAGAGAAAGAAACAGAGAGCTAGCAGGGGAGGGGCAGAGAGGAGGGAGACACAGAATCCAAAGCAGGCTCCAGGCTCTGAGCTGTCAGCACAGAACCTGACGCGGGGCTTGAACCCACAGACAGCGAGACCACGACCTGAGCCAGTCGGCCGCTTAACCAACTGAGCCACCCAGGCACCCCTTAAAATTTTGTTTTGATGTTTATTTATTTTTGAGAGAGAGAGCACAAGCAGGGGAGGGGCAGAGAGAGAGGGAGACACAGAATCCGAAGCAGGTGAGCCGGCAGCACAGAGTCCGATGCGAAACTCGGACCCAAGAACTGGAAGATCATGACCTGAGCTGAAGTCAGATGCTTAACTGACTGAGCCACCCAGGCGCCCCAGTTGTTGTGCTATTTTGCAACTTTCTATAGGTTCACTTTGCTTGTTCATGGATATGCTCATGGATATCCTGGGTCATAAAACAAACCTTAACAAATTTACAGAACTGAAAATCAAACCATGTTCTCTGACCATAATAAACTTAAGGTAGAAATCAGTAACTGAAAGAAATTGGAAAATACCCAAATACTTAGAAATTAACACATTTCTAAACAATCCATGGGGCAGAGAGGAAGTCTCAAGGGAAATCAGAAGATATTTTGAATTATCTTTTGAAATGCAATATATTTTGAAATACAAGTATATCAAAATGTGTAGGGTACAGTTAAAGTAGTGATTGGGGAAAATTTATACTATTTAAAATGTGTTAGAAAACAAGAAATGTCTCAAATCAACAATCTAAGCTTCTACCTTAAGAAACCATAATAAGAACAAAATAAACCCGCACAAGCAACATGACAGATATAATAAACGTAAGAACAGAAAACAATAAAATGGAAAGCCGGAAAACAGAAAAAAAAATCATTTAAAAAGATGGCTCTTTCAAATGATTGATGAAGACTGGCAAAGATAAAAAGAGAAAAGAAAAAGACATAAATTACCAATATCAAAAAATGAAAGACAGGTCATCACAACAGATCCCATAGCAATTAAAGGGATAGTAAGAGAATAATGCATGTAACTCTACGCATATAAATTGAACAACTCAGATGAAATAGTACATTTCCAAGAAAAGTAAAAATTATCAAAATCCACCAAAGATAAATAGATATACAGAATAGTCTTGTATCTATCTATTTTAAAAACTGAATTTGTAATTCAAACCCCTCCAGAAAAGAAAACTCCAAAACAAAATTATTTCAGTCGCAATTTCTACCAAATATTGGAAGAAGGAATAATGCCACTTCTATACAATATCTTCCAGAAATCAGAAGGTGAGGGAACTCTGCCACTTCATTTTACAGAGGGCAATGTTACCCTGATACCAAAACCAGACAAAAACATTACAAGAAAACTATGACTTAGAAAACTAGATTAAGTCACCCATGAACATAAATGGAAAATCCTCAACTAAATTTTAGCAAACTGAAAAAACAGATTAATACTTCATGAGTGGGACTTATCCCAGGAATGTAAAGCTAATTCTAATTCAACATTCAAAAATCAATCCATGCAATCCACCAGACCAAAAAACTAAGAACAAAAAAAAATATGATATCAATAGCTGCAGAAAAACATCTGACAAAACCGAACAGCCACTCAAGATAAATACTTGGCAAACCAGGAATTAAAGGAAACTTCCTTTATGCTACAGGGTATTTACAAGAAACTAATACATTTATAAATATATATATATATATTTATAAATATATATATATTTATATATATTTATAAATTTATAAATATATTTATATTTATATTTATATATTTAATTAAAGATGAAAAATGCTATTCCCCTAACACTAAGAAAAAGGAAAAGGTGGGGCGCCTGGGTGGCTCAGTCGGTTGAGCATCCGACTTTGGCTCAGGTCATGATCTCGCGGTCTGTGAGTTCGAGCCCCGCGTCGGGCTCTGTGCTGACAGCTCAGAGCCTGGAGCCTGTTTTCAGATTCTGTGTCTCCCTCTCTCTGACCCTCCCCTGTTCATGCTCTGTCTCTCTCTGTCTCAAAAATAAATAAACGTTTAAAAAAAAAATTTTTTTTTAAAGAAAAAAAGGAAAAGGATATCCACTCTCACAATTTCTATTTAACATTGCATTTGAAGTCCTAGCCAGTGTAATAAGGTTAAGGGAAAAAATAAAAGGCATTCAATTTGGAAAGGAAGAGCTAAAATCATCCTTATCGGAAGATAGTATGATCATCTATGTAGAAAATCCCAAGGAATCTACAAAAAAGATCCCAGAATTCATAAGTGAGTTTAGCAAAGTCAAAATGCAAACATCAAGCGTTATTTCAATACACTAACAACAAACAACTGGAAACTGAAAGTTTTTTAAATACCATTTTCCAATACCTCCAAAACACTTAAATTCATAAACATAAGTCTAATAAACCATGAAGTATGCTTAACACCACAAAATGCTGAAGAAAACAGGAACTTAAATAAGTGAAGAAGCTTACCAAATTCATGATGCCAATTCTCTCCAAACTGACCTATAGATTTAACAGAATCCCAATCAAAATCCCCACAGGATTTCTTATAGTTAGAAACAAGCTGATTATAAAATTTACATGGAACAGTAAAAGAGCTAGATGGGTGAAAACAATTTTGAAAAAGAATCCAAAGAAACAGACTATACAAACAGACCCACACAATTACAGCCAATTAGTTTTTTTTTAACATTTATTTATTTATTTTTGAGGGAGTGGGGGAGAGGGAGAGAGAGAGAGAGAGAGAATGGGGAAGGGGCAGAGAAAAAGAGAGAGACAGAATCTCAAGCAGACTCTGCGCTGTCGGCACAGAGCCCTATGCGGGGCTCAAACCCATGAACCGCGAGATCATGACCTGAGCCAAAATCAGGGGTCGGACGCTCAACTGGATGAGCCACCCAGGTGCCCCCAGCTAATTTGTGTTTGACAAAGCAACCGCTAACCTTAAAAATAAAACTGCCATTTACTCTACCAGCAAAAGATGAGTTCATTCAAGAATAGCAGAGATGGCAATCCAGGACAAGCAAGCTGCTGCAGACCCACAGGCAAACCCAGAGAATAAAGGCGAGAAGTGCTCTTTTACAGAGAAAGGGGGGGGGGGGGGGGACGGGATGGGCTGTTGTAAACTAAAAGTCCACTAGAGTAAACTGGGAGCTGGAAGTATGGTTGATTCTCATTGGATGGCTGGGCTGCTGCGGGGGGTGGGGGAGGGGGGTGAAGGTCTGCGGGTGTAAGAAACCTTTCTTCCTCCTGCTAGGATAGTAAAGTAGTATCTAAGGGCAAGGCAAGGAG